CCAATGAGCCACATCTACTCAGACACAGAAAATGTAAACCAACTGCTTAGGCACTCCCAACTAATGGGCGCCAACAATACTACCCCTGTTTGTCCTAATTATCATGGGCAGTGTGTCCTTTATGTCATTTCAACTGAACTTGGAAGGAATCCACTGCCCCCTGAATTTACATAAAGAATTTGTTTTCCACCAAATTTGGTTACAAATTATCAAAGCAATTTTTTAAATTACTCTCTTAGGTCTTGTAATCGTAAACGATTTAAGAAAAATATTATAATTTTAATTATGTGATTTTTAAAAATTAATGGCAGAATCTAAATCACAGACTCAAGAATTGCAGAGAATAACAAGCCCAATAAGTACAGAATATCTACACCTACAAATATTATATGCAGATTACAGAAGACCAAATAAAGTGACAAAGTCTTGGGATAAGAGGGCCCAAAGCATCTCACTTGTGGAGAGGCAAAGATAACAATGACATCAGATTGATCATCAGAAACCACACAAATAAGAGCTGAGTGATAGATTTAGATGTTAAAAAGCCTCCGGCAGGGACCTGCCTTGTGGCGTGGAGGGTAAAGCTGCACGCTTTACACACATGGCTTTACCACATGGCACCAGTTCAGGTCCTGCCTGCTCCACTTCCTGACTACTCCCTGGCTCAGTCCTGGAGGCTGCCTCCACTTGTGGAGTGAACCAGGAAATGGAAGACTTCTCTCTCTGCCTCTCCTTCTCTCTCTGTAACTCTCTCAAACACATAAATCTTTAAAAAAAAAAAAAAAGCAACAAAAAAATGATCCTTCAACAGGGAAAGATAGAGACTTTCTAAAAGAGTCAAACATCTGAAAAAAGTTATGAACGAACCTGCCTTGAAACAAGAAAGGGAAATAACGTATGTCAGAAACTTGGATCTGCAGAAAGAATGACAGAGTGTTTAGAGAAAGAACAAATTAGAGTAAAATAAAATTTTAATTTTTCTTAATTAATCCAATGGAACTACAGAAGAAAGGTAAATCCACCATGTACTTTGGACCCTTTCACATTCTCGTATCAGTTAACTGACAGATTCAGCAGGGGGAAAACCAAGGGTCATCAATGAGCAGGAGGTAACTGACATGCGTAAATATCCTCTACAGATATAGGGGCCTTCTATAGAAGGTTTCATCCAAAAAACAGAATACATGTTTTTCTCAAGTGCATATGAGTATTCACCAAAAACAGACAATATCCTAGTTCACACATCTTACTGAACAAGTATAAAAGCAAAGTAACACGGAGATCAAAATCAGTAGTAGAAAGACAGTGGGAAAAGAAATCTCAAAATATTTAGAGATTAAACAACATACTTCTGAATTAACACAGGGTTAAAATGGAGTCTTGAGAAATTATAAAATGTTTTGAAAAAAGGGAAAATAAAATATAAAAATTTGTGGAATGCAGTGGAAGCTGTGCTCATAGAAAAAAAAACAGTAGAGCCACTCCAGAAAATTATTTGACAATTAAAACAAAATCATGTATGACAATAGGGTCCAGCAATAGCCCCTCTGAAGAGTGTACTCCTGCATAAGTGTAAACTTATGTTCATTCAAAAATCTGTACTTGAATGTTTATTGATGACATTAGTTCATGATAAACCCACATGTACTTTAACGGGCAGATTCAACAAACTGGGACAAATCCCATCCCACAGGATACTCAGCAATGACAAGGACCAAACTGTTGACACATCCAAGAATCTACATCAATCTCCAGAAAACCCTAAACAAAGAGTCACTTCCATCCAAAAGGACTCATACTGTATAGTTCCAACTTATATAACATACTTGAAATAACAAAATTATAGAAATGGAGACCAAATGAGGGATTGCCAGACTTGGGAATGGTATGGTGCAGGCAGGGAAGTGGGCATGGCTAATCCAGGGCAACAGGAAGGATCCTTGTCATGATGGAGAAGAATGGAATCTTGTTCTGTATCTTGTCCTATCAACGTCCTGGTTGTGGTATTGTACTACGGCATTGCATGATGTCACCACTGAGGTACAAAGGGTACAAAGGATCTCACTATATTATTTTTTATGTTTGTATATGAACCTTTAAAATATCATCAAAATAAAAATTTTATGAAAAAAATCAGCAGGGCCCGGCGCGGTGGCGCAAGTGGTTAAAGGTCCTCGCCTTGCATGCCCGGGATCCCATATGGGCGCCGGTTCTAATCCCGGCAGCCCCGCTTCCTTCCAGCTCCCTGCTGTGGCCCGGGAAAGCAGTCGAGGACAGCCCAAAGCTTTGGGACCCTGCACCCGCGTGGGAGACCCGGAAGAGGCTCCTGGCTTCGGGCCGGCATAGTATCGGCCCGTTGCACTCACTTGGGGAGTGAATCATCAGACGGAAGATCTTCCTCTCTCTCTCTCCTCTCTGTATATCTGCCTTTCCAATAAAAAAATAATAAAAATAAATCTTTAAAAAAAAAATCAGCAGAGTTTACATGAGCAAATGTAATAGACAACAATCTCCACCTGTACCTGTAAGATCTGTATCTTTCATGATATATAAATTTTATCTCAAAAATATTTTACTTCCCAACTCTAATTCTTTTCAATATAGCAGTGCATATAATATCTGAAGCATATAATATTTGAATGAATATAATATTTGAAGCACAACCTGGTGGTAATATCATATTTTCTCAAAAGTTTCTTTTGTGTATTCTTGGAGACCTGAGTCAACCCAACTTGAACAGAGCTCAGTGGTGAGGGCTGGTGACCATTAGGTGAACCAGGAAGTAAAGAGAGACACAAGAAGCATAGCTAGCTTATTCAGCTCACCCTCTCACAAGAGCCACCTTCTTATGACAGGCCTCCAGGCCCTCAAAGCCTCCCACCAGGCCCAGCCACAAGACACTATAGCTCAATCAAGTGTCTGCCCTGAATCCATCAACCCCTAACTATGATGTCAGAGTTCAAACATTATCCGAAGTTTAGAAAGCCAAGTCCTGTTCAACCCATAACAGGGTTACCTAACCGGTATAAATAACCAACTTTTCTTTTATCACATAAAAATCACCATCTCAGGGGCTGACATTGGGGCATAGCAGATAAAGCCAACACTTGCCATGCCAGAATCCCTTATGGGTGCCAGGTCATGTCCTGGTTGCTCTATTTCCTATCCAGCTCCCTGCTAATGGCATAAGAGAAGCAGAAGATGGCCCTAGAGTTTGGGCCACTGCTACCCTACTCAGGGGTCCCAGATGAGGCTCCTGGCTTCAGCCTGGCCCAGTGCCAGCCACTGAGGGCATTTGGTGAGTGAACCAGTAGATGGAGGATCTCTCTCTTTCTTTAACCCAGACCTTTAAAAGAAATAGATAACTTTTGTAAAAATGTCTGTACAGTTACAGAAACAGTAACTGGAGGGGGTTTCTGGGTGGTTACTGTTAGTGGTGCAGCCACCCAGTCCTGCTGGAACAGGGACATGCATCCCAGGTTTCAAGCTTTGCTGGGTTAACCTGTGCCCACCCATGGAGACATTCCCAGGAGTCTGATGCCTTGAGTTCTTGAGGGGGCTGTGGACATGAGGGACAGATAGAACAATGGAGGGCACAACAGGGTTCTTGATGCTACCAGGGGAAAGCCAAGGAATGAACTGAAGGTAGAGATTCAGGACACCAAATTAATTCAAAGTTGATTTTAAAACTTCCTATTTTAAAAAAATCAGAAAAAAGGCCTTATTTTGTTTGAAAACTAAATTACTGGTTGAAAATTAATGCTATTTTTCTCTGAGGAATATGATTTTAACAATTACATATTGATGTAAGAAGTGTTTTCATGCTCACAATGACCCTTTGTCTTGCTAGTAACAAAAATAAAACCAGCTTATTGACATTTTTGCTTCATAGGTGTTTAATAAAGACATATTTTAAACAGAAAACTTAATTCATAGGCAAAGAGGACTCTTGGAGAAAAATCCAGCAAAACTCAAAACAAAATAAAGAATAGTACCATTCTCTGTATTTACAACAAGGCATGAAAAGTTAAACATACATGATTAAGAAGGAAGGCTGACCATGAATCCTAGTGTCTGGGCCATCACAGGGAAGCTGCTAACCATTCACAGAGCCTGCAGAGACTTGCTCTGCTCCAAGGTAAGCCACCGAGCAGACGGCACCTCCACAGACAGACCACTCTCCCCAGGTGCCAAAGAGAAACACAGCTTCTTGCAATCCAACAAGCCATTTCCCACGATCACTATCAACCCACTCACGTGTGCTAAGTCATCATCTGTTCCATCCTTATGGGAAAAACTTTTCATCTCTATGTCCTTGACACACAGACACCAGATGTGTGAGGTTTTTTTCCCCTTACCTATCAATCCTCCAGCTCTCTGGACACAAACTGGATCTCCTTCAACTTTATTGGATTCTTAAGTACCTGTAATTAGAACAGTCTCCCACCTGAGAGCTCAGTCTCACCAGAATGACCCTGCCACTTCAAAAACCAATCACAACTGGTGGGTCTCCAGGCTGTAAATAAGGGGGTCCCACTGACTCCTCAAGGAAGATCTTTGGCTAGGACAATTCTGACGACTCATGGCAACACTTCACTTACATTAACCAGGGTAGCTTGAAGGATGTGATAAAGGACTCTGATGTACACAGAGCAAGGTCGAAAAGGGTCTGGGCATAGCAACTCGCCTTGCAGATTTGGGGTATGCCTTCCTGGCATCCATGTGTTCACCAGCACAGAAACTCCAGACGCCACAGGGTATGAGTTTGGTTGGCTTTATCACGCATGAAAATTCATTTCCAGCCCACAACTTTCACTGTGTGATGGGATACGAAGGCAGAGCTTCCAATCACTGCTGGGGCTTTGTGTTGAGTGTCCACTCTGAAGCTCTCTGGGAGCCCAGCAAAGGCTACCTCCTTAGAAGATGCCTCTGCTCTGGGACATTCAAAAGGATTCTGGAGGTATCTGAGCAACTGAGGTCAAAGACCACAAACAGGAGCAGAAGGAACAGCACTGACCCTCAGGACATTCTGAGGGTTTCAGGAGCTTGGAACAAGGAAATGAGGAAACAAAGATCAAAACACATATTTCTTATAATTCTGCAACATCTCAAGATGCATTTATTACACTTTGATTACAGTTGGAGGCTGACGGACTGGTTTATATGGAATGCATTTTAGGGAAGTCCCTCAAGACATTCAGAAAGCACAATAACCAGGTGGATAAGCAGCCTCTGAAGCTTACCTAGAGGCAAACACAGATGCTGTGGATGCAACTTAGGCATCAACCACCTATCGTTGGAAAGGACCTGGGTATCCCGTGACCTCATCATCTTCACCTTTTTCTTCCAATGAACACATCTACATCCCTCGCACTGGGGTCTCAGGACTTGCCACTCCACACAAGGACAGGACAAGAACATTACACAGTCAGACTGTGTGCCTAGTAGTGAGGCTTATACATCATGTGGGTAAGTATTTGCTGAAAGGAAGCAGAATTTTGAAAATACATATATATGTTTTATCCAAAAATAAGTTGTATTTCTTTATGAAACAACAAAAGTAAAAAAATGTAAACAATACAGTGACAGAACAGCCTCCACACCCTACCGTTGGTCAGTTCAAAAGCTCAGTAGGGCCTTAGGTTATTACGTATCGGGTGAGTCCACCCCCTCGGACCTCGGACAGCCTCCGGCAGTGTCGCAAAATGTTCAGTATCACATGAAACCTCTTGTCAACTTTCAAAGCTGTGAACTCCTTTATGTCAGCTTCCACTATAAAATAATGACCTGAGAATAATGACAGGAGGGAAAACTTTCAGGAGGTGAACTTTCAAGACGACTCTTTCATGCATGTAAACACAAGTATGAGGGACATCAATCACTCTTACCATCCTCTTCCGTAAAATCAAGAACTGGCATTGCTGCTACAGCAACAGCATCAATCCAGGTTGCCTGCTATGTACTGGAGCATTTGTGGCTCCGCATATTAGATCACTAGCTATCCACTGAGACCTCTTCAGTGGTGTGGAATGACACCCGCAGTAGCTCCATCATTTAACAGATGACCTCAGGCAAGCCAGTGAAGCTCTTTGGTCTGCAGAGCACCAAAGCTCTCAATGCACTATCTGGAACACAGTGAGTGCTACATGCACATGATCAACAGCTATTATTACTATACTAACTCTCAAAATACTGAGCTTAATGCCATGGCAGAATCTAAGGTAGAGCTTTAAAGCCTCAGTTCTGGACACTTATCCTGCTGTCTTGTGCATTTCCCAATGTTCTAGCAGTATCTCAGGCTTCAACCCTTTATTGCCAACACCTTCTACTGCAACTGCAGCCACCAAGAATGTCTCTAGACACAGTAAAATGCTCCCTGCTGGGAAGACTGTCCCTGCTTGGGAACTAACTCCCTAGACTTAGACTGTTCTAGAATCAACTTTGTTTCTCAGAACATATTCAATATGTGTTTGCTATTATTTACCTTTGGTATCTTTTGTTTCTTCACTGATAAATCTGTGGTAGAGATTTCTGGTCACAGAATTCATAGATGCTTTTGGCTGATGGAGGATCTTATATTTACTAATTACTGCCTTGTTCATTTCTTTAATAACATCATTAATTTGGCAATAGGTTAAGCGTGATTTCATATACCTGCAAAAAAGTGAAGATTATTTTTGTCATCCTACAAATTATCTTTTCAGAAAAAAAGGGAAATATACTTTATAAAAACAATTTTATGTCATTTCCCAAGAAACTAGACACATCTCAACAGCTGAAAAAATTAAATACAGATGATAACATGTCACTGCCTATCTTCCCTAATAATATCTGGATGTATTACTCCCTATTCTCCACCTACAGAAAATTAACATTACAATGTAAAATAAGCTTTCAGATTCAAATGCACTGAATAACTTCAATAGAAATTTATTTTAAAATGTTTGTGAGCAAAAGAAAATTCAAAATATTATAAAAGAATATAATTCATAGAACCCTGGTTTTCTGCAAAAGCTATTATCTGTTCCGAGAGAGAAAAATACAGAAATTGATAAGGCAGACAACAATAAAGATAATGCCCACAGGACAGAGAACTGACAGGGTGAAAGGAAGAGAACCAGAGGTTTTGAATTTCAGCTGCCAGGCAGGGGGCGAGACAGTGGACAATCACGCCCCTTTCCACTGGACCCACACTTTCTTCCAAAGCATCACCTCTCCCACTCTAGAGCCCTCTCTACAGCTTGCACCTTCCTCTTGTCCTCCTGGTCCCCAGAGAGTCCCTGAATGTTGAATGGTCCAGATAATACCAAAGCCAAAACTGAATGATCCACCTGTTTCTCCCATTATGAAATTGTAGGGCTCATTATCTTGTCCACTTCTATTTAAAGTGGCAGTTTTACAATTAAAACTTCTGCCACAAAAAGTAAGACAGGAATCTATTTAAACCGTTCATTTTCCTTTGTCATCTCTAGAGTACTTTTATGGAACCACAATTTCCAAACTCTTGATGCTGCAGCTCTACAATACACTTAGGAATTCCTTCGAATCCTTCAACTACCACCTTCATTTAGAATCTATTTGTGGTCGGGTAGGCAGCTAGTTCACAAGCTTGGAAACCACTGCCCCATCACCATGTAGGTGTTCCCTGCTGCCCACCTGTGATGCTCACCTATCAACACCTGGAACCTGACAGGGGGCAGTATTATATTGTTGTGTAACCACTTCCCTCACAAGCCCCTATAAAGGCACATGATAGGGTGGGGCTTGCTGTCTTGGTCTTGTGCCTCTGTTGCTCTGGCTCTCTTGGCCAGGACAGACTCTAAGGATAGGTAGCTTCTGAGCATGGCCTCTGTATGTATTCCTTACCCTCTGTTCACTGCTTGGGCAGGACAGTGAAGATGTTAATGCTAAGATGCTTTGTATTTCTAATGTGTGTACTTACAGTTTCAGGAGAGGTGAGGCCTACCAATAATAGAATGTGGGCAGAGAATCCAGGGAAAGGTGAATGTCTGCAGCTTTGAAGTATGGCCAGGTTACTCGTTACATGACTCTTAGGGTAACTTATATTGCTGGGGAAACTGAGACACAGGTCTTCAGCTTAACGGATGGATTTCAGGGCAATGACCGTTTGTTCCTCTTAGGTTTCTGACTGACTGGATTGCCATATGAACTTGTGACTTGCTATTTCTAGTGGGCCCTATTATTGCCAAGCTTGGTTAATAAAGACTTTTTAATAAACTCTAGACTTGTCAGGTGAGATGTTGCTAGCACCATGCAACACTATCCACTCTCCCTATTTGCAGCTGTTTGCCATCCAAATTTCACCAATGCATTAATGTTTAAAAATTAAATCAAAGCTCTATGTTTGAAACTCATTCTTCTTTATCTAATCTTTTCACTTTGTCTCTCATTCATTAAATAACCCTTTGTTGATAAATGAACAATCCACCATGATCATTCTAATTTCCTTCTTCACCGACACCCTTTCTACAAACTTTTCCACTTCATTCTTCTGAGCCCTTTGCTCCTCCCTGTAGCAAAACTGAGTGGACTCAAAGTCTCAAACATTCATAAAAATAAAGCTGACAAGAGAGAAAAAGATTGAGTTGACGAAACAGAAAACAATACCAAGAGAAATGTCAGCTTCATGACCAGACTCAGGATTGTAAAGTAAGCAGACATCTTTCAACTGTCTAATGAGTAACAATTTGTAAACCAGTAGATAGATAACCAAGAGTGATACAAGATGAGTGGTCTCATACACTGCCAACAGGAAGGCAAACTGGCACGTATGGGTGGGTATGTGGTCCAGCAGTGGAGATGCCTACTGGAGTACCTGGGTCGGATGTCCAGCTTGAGCTCCCGACTCCAGTTTTCAGCTAGTGCCCTGGCGGGCAGTAGTGATGACCCAAGTAGTTGAGTTCCTGTCACCCACGTACCCGACTCCTGGCTGAGCACTGATCAGGAGCCACTGTGGATACTTGGCAAGTGAACCAGGAAGGATAAGCACATGCTTGCACATGCTCGCACGTGCTCGCACGCTCTCTCTCTTAAGCACATGCTCGCACGTGCTCTTTCTCTCTCTCTCTCCGTTTTTTGTCTCTCAAATAAATAAATAAGTAAATAAATCTGGAAAATTCTACCCTATCTTTTCTGGGTAGAATTACAAAAGTTTTATTTTCTCACAATAAAAACTTCTACCATGTATATTTCTATAATAAAAAATGAATAATGAGTGTGACACAATATAAAACTCATAAGTTAAACAAAGCTCTAGAATTATGCAACTTTAAAAAGTACAGATTTCCATTACTGACTCCCATAGAAAGCACAGGAGCACTCCCGTTGGGGAAGGTGCCTCGTCTTACTCAGGCTTGCGTTCCTCTGGGGACCTCGGACCCAGGACACAGCCTGGACGGACAAACAGGGGGGTACCACAAGTATCTTTACAGAACAATCACCTGCCTGTTCATAGAACAACCTAAGACTCCCTAGAAAAGATAAACAGCTGAACACCACATAATATAATCAAGTTTTCTGATAAAAATTATGTAGAGTTGGACATCAAAAGCTATCTTAACTGTTGAACTATCAAAACCTCATGAGCAGGACCCTCAGAGCAAGCCCCACATCAGGGACCCTGGGTTGGTGTTGGGGGGCTGTCCTCCATCCCAGGGTGCACAGGTGTTTGAGAGGTTGGGTGTGACTTCTCCCCTTATCTCCCCTTCTTCCCCAATAGGAAGGAAAAAAAGAGAATGTGGTATCTCAGCCACCTTCCTGTAGCCCTTGACCCTAACCACCCTGATCAACTACGTAAAAATCATCAAAAATAAAAATAATAATTAAACTTTTAAAAAGCTATCTTGAATACTTACGCCGGAACACCATTAAACTCATTTGTAGTGACAAATGGCATTTCTTTAATAATACTTTGTTCTTTGGGGGGTTTCTTTGGGGGTGCAGGCTCCTCCACTTTGACTGGCTCTTCAGGGTCCAGATCTGACCCGTTAGCCCTAAAGCAGAGATGAACACACGCACGGTAGTTATCAAAACAAGGCAGCATACTGGCAGATTGTCCCAACTAAAATCAATCAACAGTAAACACATGATTCACCCCATTACAATAATTTTACAGTCAACATTAGTTTCTTTCCCTATGCCTTCACCATGAAGACTGAAATTGTGAAGAGAACGTTGAAAAAGTAAGTTCTCAACTCTTTAGTATGAAAAAGATACCTCCAAAAGTCGGTGGAAGGGGCTGGTGCTGTGGCCCAGTGGGTTAAAACGCTACTTTGAGTCCCATAATATTTCTGATTTAGCTTCCTGCAAGTGCACTCTCTGGGAGGCAGTGGAAGACAGCTCAAGCACTTGGGTTCCTGACATCCGAGACCTGGATAGAGTTCCTGGCTCCTAGCTTTGGCCTGACTCACCCCGGCTGTTCCAGACATTTGGAAAGTGAACCAATGGATGGATGATATTTTTCTGTTTCTCTCTCTACCATTCTGCCTTTCAAATGGAAAAATAAATAAATTTTTAAAAAGGTCTGTATAAAGGGACCAGCACAGTGGCTTAGCTGGTTAATTCTCCACCTGTAGTGTCAGCAAACCCATGAGTGTTGGTTCTAGTCCCAGATGATCCGCTTCCCTGCTTATGGCCTGGAAAAGCAGTGGAAGACAGCCCAAAGCCTTGGATCCGTGAACTCACACGGGAGACTTGGAAGAAGGTCCTGGCTCTCAGCTTTGGACCGGTTCACTCTGGCCAATGCAACAATTTGTGGAGTGAACCAGCTGATGAAAGATCTCTATATCTCCCTCTGTAAATCTGACATTTAAGGAAAAAAAAAACAAATCTTTATTAAAAAAAAAAACTCTGCATAAAACAGAATTCAAAAATAAGTTCACTCTGGTGTAAAAAATTTTAAAATCTAAGCACAGAACAAAATATAATAAAAAAAAAATCCAAGTACAGTTCTTCATAATATACATTCCCATGAACTTTTTGAAGACACCTCATATACCCACGTTGATTTATACACACCATACAGAGTATACTATAGATCATATGCTAGTTACCTTCATTAGCTGCCCCTCAAAGTCAACGTGAGGCATGTTCAACTTAACCTCTAAACAGCTTCTCTTCCCGACTTCCCTAGTCCTGATCCTGGAACCCTTAATTACCTGTGACTTCCATGAAGTCTAATTTGTCCTCTAGGTTGCTGCTGTCCGCTCCGGCCCCTGCAGGCTCATTTCAGCTGTTCAGTGTAAGCCTGGCTCCCTCCTGTTCCATCCAAAATTTTAAGCAGTAAAAGCCCACTGTCCTGGCCCCAAGTGGCCCCTGGCCCACTAGCAGTGGGGTTTAGAGACAGGCTGTGCCTAGAGACTTCTAGGAAGGAACAAATCTTTATTGCTATGGTGGCTTGACATCAAATCCAGTACACAGCAGATCCAACATGGAAGGAAGTAAAAGGGAGCCCAAAAATACAGGAAGTGGGATCTGGAGATGAAGCTGAGCCCATATCCTGAGGGCAGCTAGGCCTGAGAGAAGCTAGGTAACTCAGGAGACAGCCATGTGGCCCACCAAGACACACATGTCCCCTGCTCTGATATGATCACCCTCATGAATCCTCATGTCAGACCCCAGTATGAAACTGGCTGTCAGCTGTCCTTCCTTGTCTTGGCCACACGCTAAGGAAACTCCTGACAGTCACTTCAGCCTACAACACAGATCTGCCGCAACCTGGCCCTGAGAACAGAAGCCAGCTGTGGAGAGTTCCCATTCCCCTGGCCACGTGCCTGCTGGCACTATGATCCCCATCCCACATTTCAATCCTGCCAGACAGGCTGTAATGTCCTGCGTTTCCTAGTACACACTCAGGACCATGACCTTGCTCTCTCCTCTTATAAGGAACCCTGATTATGCATTCTGCAATCCCAGCATCAAAGCACTGAGGAGATGGAAGTGGGGAAATCCCAGACAGACCCAACACAGAACTCCCCAAATCATAAAAACTAAGGGCATAGGAAGACCCTACTCAGAGCCGACAATGAAAACAGGAAGGAGAATTGGGATGGACAAAAACCCTGGAAAGACAGAATGGAAAGGAGATGCTAAGAGAAAGCGAGAGGTGAGGATGCGGTGTCCCTGGCCAAGCGACGGGTAGACTGGAACTAAAGAGAGTTAGAGTTCAGCCCTGGGCTTGCTTAGTGGACAGAGAACACAGCTCGCAACAGATGCCCCACATGCCATGGAAAGAGCAGTGTGAGATGTCACACTGAGGCTGGAGTTGGACACTGGAGGGCTTTGATAATGCTGTGACTCACATCACATCAGAAGATGGGAGAGCAGAGCAAAAAAGGGGCCACACCAGAGACTTGAGATGACAACTCAGAAATGTCTTGGGCCTATCCTTACACTAAGGGTCAGGGGAGACGCTGCTCACAGCCAACACCCAGCAGTCTGCCCACAGCTGTCACAGGGATGGATCGGGTGTCGGAGGGTGCTTCCGTCTGACGGACAGAGACCAGGGATGGGGTTAAATGTGCTCTTCTTCAACAAAGAAGGCCCCAGCCTCACAGGCAATGGAGCCAAGGTTGACAATGAAAGGCACAGCCCAGAGGACTTGTTCTTGGGAAAGAAGGCTGATGATGGCTTCAGCGGGGTAAGAAAACTGGGGAAAATGAGGAAATCCTGTTTCTGGGTTCAAGTATGTCTAGTTCAGTGATTTAAAAAAAAAAAAAGACAGTTGCTGACAAAACTGCAAGTAGCTTGAACACTAAAATGTTATGTGTTTGCAAGTGTCTATAATCCGGATAGCAAGAGTATTTATAGATCTACTTACACGCTCTGGGTTACAACTGCTTGAGGCAAATGGGAAGGGATATTTTCTTTGAGATGTTCCACATCTTTATAGTCTTCTTCAAGAGATTCACAGAGTTCCTTAAATTAAAAAGTAAATAAATAAATAAAAGCTCGCTAATGAGAATCTATTCCCACTGCCTCCCGTGTGTAAATACAGCACAGAGCAGGAAAGGAGCCAGTGTCATGGTACAGCTGCCTAAACTGCCACCTTTGGCACTGGCATCCCCTCTGGGCACCAGTACCAGCCACTCTACCTCTAACTGAGCTCCCTGCTTATGAACTGGGAAGGCAGCAGAGAATGGTTCAAGCTCTTGGGCCCCCGCACCTACACAGGAGACCTGGAAGAAGCTCCAGGCTCCTGGCTTCATATCGGCTCAGCTCTGGCTGTTGCAGCCATTTGGGGAGTGAAACAGCAGAGAGAGCATATGTCTCTGTCTCTCCTTCTTGCTCTGTAAATCTTCCTTTCAAATAAAAATAAAGTAACTCTTAAAAAAAAAAAGCAGGCAAGCCTAAGCCATCACAGCTTCTGTGAGGACTGACAACATGGTGAAGACAGAAAGTACTGAATGCAGCAACATATGGTTTCTCAAACTGTTTTTTAAATAGTGTTATATTTCTTAGAAAAAAAAAAAAAGGTGGGGGGAACCTGGTGCAGCAGCCTGTTGTTAAAGTCCTTGCCTTGTACGTGCCAGATCTCGTATGGGCACAGGTTCAAGTCACGGCAGCCCCACTTCCCATCCAGCTCCCTGCCTGTGGCCTGGGAAAGCAGCAGAAGACAGCCCAAAACCTTAGGACCCCGCACCCATGTGGGAGACTCAGAAGAAGCTCCTGGCTCCTGGATGTAGATTGGCTCTACTCTGGCCATCGTGGTCACTTGGGGAGTAATTGGCAGACAAAAGACCTTCCTCTCTGTTTCTCCTCCTCTCTGTATATCTGACTTTCCAATAAAAATTAATAAATCTTAAAACAAACAAACAAACAAACAAAAACACAGCATTTAGTTTAACAAAAAAAATGTATGGGCCTGATATGATGGCTCAATGGCTAAATCTTCCTTGCAAGCACTGACATCCCATATGGGTGCCAGTTCATGTCCCAGCTGTTCTACTTCCCATCCAGCTCCCTGTATGTGGCCTGGGAAGGCAATAGAGGATGGTCCAAAGCCTTGGGACCCTGCACATGCAAGGGAGACCCGGAAGAAGTTCCTGGCTCCTGGATTTGGATCAGTTCATCTCCAGCCGTTGCGGCCACTTGAGGATTAAACCAACAGACGGAAGATATTCCTGTCTCTCCTTTTCTCTGTAAATCTTCCTTTCCAAGAAAAATAAATAAATAAATCTTTAAAAATAAAAAAAAGACTGATTCATCTTGAAAGCCAGAGTTACAGAAAGAGCAATCTTGCATCTGCCAGTCCACACCCCAAAGGACATAATGAGCAGGTTAGGCTAGCTGAAGGGCCGGAAATTCTCCAAAGTGGGTGTAGGAGCCCAAGGACTTGGGCCATCTTCTGTTGCTTTGCCAGTGATATTAGCAGACAGCTAGATCAGATGTGCCACAGCCAGGACTGTAGCAATAAACATATGGGATGCTGTGGTTGCAAACGGCAGCTTAATTCAATGCACTACAACACTGGCCTCAAGATGGTAATATTTTTGAGGGAACAATCCCTACAGCAACCACATTACAGTCATAAGATGGGGAGGGTTGAGATTTAAGACTTTCTCAAATATTGTAACCTTAAGAGGCAACTAAGGAATACATGAGAGATTTATGTTTTTCATTCCGGTAAATTGCTTTTCTTGACTTGGCCGATATTCCCAGTGGTTCTTGTGGGACAGCGCCACAGTGGCAACGACACCCAGAAGCAAGCACGAGGTGCTCCCTGCAAAGATTCCCACTGCTGATGCTCATACTCCAAACCAACGAACATTTCCCCTGCAGCATAACTGGGCTATTTGTCTTGTTTTGTGTTTAACTTTCGCTAGAACTTGAGACTACAAACTTATGCGCATCTTAGTAAGAAAATACTCCTTGTTTTTCAATTCCTATCATCTGACTCCCAATCATAACATGAAAATGAATTCCAGACAGTCATCAGTTGTGACTTGGATAGTGTGTGCCCACATCAAGCACTGGGCACCCCAGGATAGGTCAGAATTGGACATCAATATAGGTTTCCATTTTGAATGGAAGGACATTCCGCTTGTGAATTTCATTTTCATTTTCAGCAGCAGCAGAAGAGGCACCATGTCCATTCCTATTGCTGAAAAATCCCTGCTGATCTGAAGGATCATAAGGTCAAATGGGACCCTAGAGGAAAACTTGTCCAGTCCCAGTGAACACCCAGACAGCGCTAACACGACGGAATCACGGGCCAGACTGAGCATCTTCCTGTCAGGAGGGACCCAGCACTTAGAGTAGCTGGAGGCTTCTCAGAGCAAAAACGGGCACAAGGGTGCCTCCAACATCAATTTTATAAAAATATAAAAATACAGGCCTAAAGGGAATTAAGGCAGTGGCCAATATGGTAGATTGTTTTTCAAATGAGGAGATTTCCAAGAGGTGAAATGGGAAATCCTAGAGACAGAGTACCAAGAGCAGTCAAGGGAGAGCCCTCATTCTCAGTAAAGCTCAGTTCACTTGCCATCAGCAAGGGAAGCAACAGCAGTGGAGTTCTGGACTCCCCTAACCCAGGAAAATAAAACACAAACGGCACTCTCTCCCATTAATCATTTACAGTGCTAAGAACATTATAAGCTTAAAGAATTCTTACAAGGGACATGGTGATTGGGGAGTTTCTATTTATTACTTTTTTACTTCGCTTCTTCATTAGGAAAACATTACCTTAAGCGAACTGTTGGTTTGTTCCTGATACTGAATTTCCAGTTCCAATCTGTTTAGTAGTTCGTTTACTGCAAAGATCTCGTCTCCTATTTTATTTAATGTAGTCTTCAAGGTAGGTTCTTGGCCTGTTACACACACAGAGAAAAAGAAAGCTTACAGAAAAGCGGAAGCCATCACATTGAGGGTGGAAACAGGCTATCACTTCAGTCCCTAGTACTGCCTCCTTGGAAGATCCAAAGACCTCATTTCTGAGTAGAATGGAAGACGGGGGAAGAGCCAAGGATAAAGTGCTCCTCAAGGCCTTCAGGCTGGCAGATTCTCTTACTGTAATAAAGCCCCTAAAAATGCCAGAAAAACACAAACACCATTCCTCACGCACAGCCAAGTCTGCAGGAAAACAGGGTAAGACTCCCAGAGTTCCAACCGGCAGAGGGAAGCCCAGAGGAGACAGTGTGTGTGAGCTGATGCTGCAGCCGCCCTCACCAACAGGCGGGTGTAGAGGCGTGCGGCACAGGTGGCTGCCCATCCCACCGACTGACTCCCGTTACTTTAACGGAGAAAGAAGCAAGGCATTGGAGCTTCAAAGCACAAATCCTCCAAGTGAGACTTCCAAACGAGGCTGGAACTCTCCATCACGGCACACAAGCCTGGAAAGCCTTAGCTGCTAGCCAAGGAGATAAGCTTATGTTTTAGACTGGTTCTCGGGGTGCATGTGGATGTGTGGGGGGGCAGGATGTGAAACTGAGGAAGTTTTTTTGGGAATTTCTAACAAAGACTTGAGATTCAGTCTGGGTTGGGATTTGTAATTATACCATCTATAAGCAAAATATAAATAGGGCCCGGCACAATGACCTGGTGGCTAAAGTCCTCACCTTGTATGTGCTGGGATCCCATGTGGATACCTCTCAGTGGCTGCTTTGTGTGTCTCCACCTTTTGGTGGTCACAGGTAATACGGTATTCAGGTTGGCATACACTTGTCTGAACTTGCTCTCAGTTCTTTTTTTTTTTTTAAGATTTACTTTATTTTTATTACAAAGTCAGATATATAGAGAGGAGGAGAGATAGAGAGGAAGATCTTCCCCCAGATGATTCACTCCCCAAGTGACCGCAATGGCCAGTGTTGTGCCAATCCAAAGCCAGGAACCGGGAACCAGGAACCTCTTCCAGGTCTCCCACCCAGCTGCAGGGTCCCAAGGCTTTGGGCCTCCTCGACTGCTTTCCCAGACCACAAGCAGAATGGGAAGCGAGGCCAACAGGATTAGAACAGGCACCCATAAGGAATCCCAGCGCACGCAAGGCAAGGACTTTAGCCACTAGGCTACTGCACCAGGCCCAAGTATGCCTGACAAAGATGACGTGTTCCTTTGAATTTTCATTGTGTCATCCTTTTTTTCAGCATGTCAAGATATTTTTTAAAATGGTTACAGCTTCCAAGCCACAGATGTTGTAAACATTTTTATTTCCAGAAGTTGTCCCCCAGTGGATTCTAGTAACGTGCTTCCTTCAAAGCAGGCTGTCTCTGTAAGCTGGGAAATGGACGACTTCTACCTCTGTGGATCTGTGGATCTTGTCCACTTCCGGGACTTTTTTTTTCTGCCTCTTAGTTTCTCCATTTAGGGGTGAAACTTTGGGGGGTTGCTCTGTTGTGTATGGGTAAAGCCATTATCTGCAGTGCCAGCATTCCATATGGGCGCTGGTGAGTCCTGGCTGCTCCACTTCTGATCTGGCTCCCTAGTAATGCGCTTATAGAAGCAGCAGAGAGTGGTCCAAGTCCTTGGGCCTCTACAGCCACATGGGATCCCGGATGAAGATCCTGGCTCCTGGCTTCAGCCGGGCCCAGCCCTGGCCACTAGGGCCATTTGGAGAGTGAACCAACAAATAGAAGATCTCTCTCTTTCTGACTGCCTCTTCTTCTCTGTAGCTCATTCAAACAAATAAAATTGCTAAATTAAAAAAAAATAGAACCATGTATAATGTATACCACATATCATTCATGTCTTCATTGGCTTGTCTCAGAAGACAAGTGCTCAAATCTAGTTAACAGTGCAACATCCTCTGCAATATTCAAAATAATGATGCAAGCTCCTTTTAAAAATCACTACTCACACACACACAAAAAAAAAACACTACTCACACACACACAAAAAAAAAAAAAAAAGAAAGAAAGAAAAGAAAAAAGAAAAAAAAAATCACTACTCAAGGGCCAGTGTGGTAGGTTAGCATCCTAACCACCTGCCTGGGGTGCCAGTGTCACACTTGGACCTGAACTGTCCACTTCCCATCCAGCTCCCTGCCTGTGGCCTGGGAAAGCACTTGAAGATGGCTCAGAGCCTTGGGATCCTGCACCCGCGTGGGGGACCTGAAAGAACTGCTGGCTTTGACGTGGCTCAGTTCTGGTAGTTGTAGCCATTCGGAGAAATCACCAGCAGATGGAGGCTCTCTCTCTGTCTCTTCTTCTCTCTCTATAAATCTCCCTCTCAAATAAAAATAAGTAAATCTTTTTTTTTCAAAATTATTCGAAATCAAAAATTACCTTTAGATTTTCAATGATGTTTATATAATTGATTAGAGTTTTTCTAATTTTATTTTTGATGATGAAAAATCAGCTTTCTAAGATAACACTCACTTCACAAGCCATAAGATTTCTCAAAGTGGACCAATAACCAAACATCATAAAGAACAAAGGCCACCTGTGGCACTTACCCAGGCTTCTCAGAGACAGAGTTTTTCTGATAGTACCAATCTTTTCATTAACATGACAGCATAACTGTTCCAAATCGGAGGCCATCCTCTGAGTCTCTGCAGAAAGAGGAGACAAGTGTTAAAACATGAAAAGCCAGGGGGGCCAGCACCTTGCCTCCAGCATTTCATATGGACACAGGTTTGAGTCCCAGCTGCTCCACTTCCAATCCCACTCCCTGCTAATGACCTAGGAAGGCAGCAGAGGATGACCCAACACTTCAGGACCCTGCACCCACGTGGGAGACCTAGCTGAAGCTCCTGGCTCCTGGTTTCAGACAAGCCCAGCTCTGGCTGATGCAGCCATTTGGAGAATGAACCAAAGGACAGATCTCCACCTGTCTCTAGCTCTTTCAAGCAAATTTGTGTTCCCTTTCAAAATCCAACAGTAGCAAACATCAAACAAATCCTAATTCCTTGAAACACAAAAACGCGAGATTTCTTTCTGTTCCACTTAATTTGCTTCCAACCAAAGAACAGCATGGACTTATAGGGACCTGCAGTCAGGGTAGCCCGGAGGGCCAGGGGATCTTTCTGGATTATTTTCTAAGATTTGGGACAGAAGCGGTATTTATAGTCACATTTTAAATACACATACACACACACGCATTTTAAAGAAGCAGTGTAACTGTACAACAAGGGGCGGGCCGAGGGCAGGATTTCTGTGCGTGGAGGGTTGGACTTTGCAGTCAAGAAGCAGGGAAAGGACTCAGATCCCCTCCGCTCCAGGGTAACCGAGCAGAGCCCCTCTCCAAAGCACCCGCGCCGGTACACCCAGCCCAGGCCGCGGCTGCGCAGCCCCCGCCCCACCGAGCCATCCCTCGGCGCTCCAGCCCCAAACGCGCGGACTCACGCCTCGACGCCGAGCCGAAAGTGTCCGCCGGAGTGTCCGCCGGGTGTCCGCCGGAGTGTCCGCCGGAAGCCAGACTCAAATTCAAACAGCCCGCGAGGTCCGGCGTCGCGCAGGCGCAAATCCCGCTCCTGAAGCCCAACCTCAGACAATGCCAGCACCTGGGCGGGGCTGTGGAAAAGCCCCGGAAAAGTGAGGACGGGGAGGGGCCTGACCGAGGTGGGGCGGGGCAGGGGCGGGGACTTGGGGGTTGGACAGGAGCCTAGACAGGGAGCTTAGGCGGTACCTGGCCAAGACGGGGCGGGGCTGGGCAGGATGGGGCGGGGCTGGCATGAAGGGGCGGGGCCTGGAAGGGGCCGTGATGGCACTGGGAGGCTTCTTGGAAAAGGCTACAGGAGCAGGTGCCTCTCCTACCCACCAGCTGTCAGGTGAAACGGCTCAACCCTGAGATCTCCCACCAGCACTCCTGAGGTAAGATGTAAGTCGTCCAGGATGGGATCTTACTTTTCTTTGTCTGGCTGAGCCTCTAAAAGTCACATCCTGTTTGACACAGGCCTCCTGGAGAAGGAGAGAAATGACAGAGACATAGTAAGTAACAGTCTTATTGTTTGTTCTGGTGCTGCCTGGCAGCTGGGTTGCCGGTGGTGGATCTCCCCCTTATCCTCAGATTAGCACTTAGCTACAGTTTCCCCCTGACAGCCCCAAACACAAGACTTTTGTTGGTTTATCATCTCCTTTACCAGCCAGTTGGCCAGTTCAGAGCTTTAGTGTTCCCATGCATCTAATGAGACTCCAAGAGCAGCCCTGGGAGGAAAGAGTGGCCAACCTTGAGAAGACAACCAAAGTTAATTCAGTTGATTGGATGGCTAGGATTTGTGCTGGTATGAACTTAAAACCCCTGACAGCAGCCATTTGGGGCTCCTCTCTTCCACCTGTGGTACAAGACGGGCCATCGGTGAATAAAGACTCCTGAGCCTCCAAGAGTCTGCCTCCAACTCATTTTTGGGCTAGAATCAGGCACCTTGCAGCAAGGTCCCCCGGTGCAGCAGCAGCAGAGCGGAGGTGCTCGTCAGTCTCCGAGGCTCAGGCAGAGGTGGGATCACGCCTTGGGACAAGGTAAGTGTGGCCCAACGCACCTGAGGGAGGAATAGGGTGGCTGTCGGTGCCTGGGGGAACTCAGGGAACAGGCCACCTCCATGGGCCTAGTCGGAGCACGCTGTCAGTGTCTGAGGGCAGCACGAGTGGCTTCTCCGGGCCTGAGCAGTCAGGCTCCTTGCCTGCTCTCTGGTGTCATGTGTAGGAGAGTGGTGCTGCTCAAATGGAGCCTCCATGGGCCGAGCCGCTCACCACAGGCTGCCTGTTGACCTCTTAAGAGCCACAGGAGAATGGCAAGGGCCATGGCTTCTTCCTGGAAGCTGCAGCAGGCCAAGCCACTTTGAGGCCGACTCCCTGAGATTGTGGGCGAGGAGACGAGGCTGCCCATCTGATTCCCAGAGCCGCTCGGAGAAACCTGCCTGGTAACTGTGTGAGGTTTCAGGGAGGACAGGCAGGGTCACTCGGCTGGTGCCCAGGGGTGGGCTGGCCAAGGCACTCGAGGCAGCTGCCCAGACATTGCACAGAGCCCCAGGGAGGCGGAGGACTCAAGGTGATGCTGTAAAGCAGAGGCTTCTCTAAGGCAGAGAAAACTATGAGCCAGCCTCCAGGACAATGTGACCATGTGAACAACTGGCAACACCTTTAACTGAGCCTGTGAGGGTACAGGCTTCCCTGGATCAAATGCAAGGAGGCTCAAAGTGTTCCTACTAAAACAGAATCAAAAAAATAATGTGAATGTCCTACACAATATTTGAAGCCCACTCTACCTTAGGAGTGCTAGTGCCTGCAGGAGGATCAGCTAGTTGAGCCGTCATACCCACTGGCCCCCATTCCACTACATATAAGACTGCTAGACCCGGCCCAAAGATTCAATGGCTAAATTCTCACCTTGTAAGCCCTGAGATCCTATATGGGCCCCGGTTTATCTCTTGGCTGCTCCACTTCTAATTCAGCTCCCTGCCTGTGGCCTGGGAAAGCAGCAGAGGACGACCCAAAGCCCTGGGACCCTGTACCCAGGTGGGAGACCCAGAAGAGCTCCTGGCTCCTGGCCTCAGATTGGCTCAGCTCCAGCCACTGTGGCCACTTGGGGAGTGAACCTGTGGATGGAAGATCTTTCTCTCGGTCTCTCCTTCTCTCTATAAATCTACCTTTCCAATACAAATAAATAATTTTTTTTAAAATTACTATCTAGGGACCTGGTGCAGTAGCCTAGCAGCTAAAGTCCTTGCCTTGCAAGCACTGGGATCCCATATGGGCGCCAGTTCTAATCCCAGTGGCCCCACTTCCCATCCAATTTCCTGCTTGTGGCCTGGGAAAGTAGTCCAGGACGGCCCAAAGCCTTGGGACCTGCACCTGCATGGGAGACCCGGAAGAGGCTCCACGCTCATTTCTTTGGGTTGAATCAGCTCCAGCCATTGTGGCTGCTTGGGGGTGAATCAATGGAGAGAAGATCTTTGTCTCTCTTTCTCTTCATATATCTGACTTTCCAATAAAAATTAATTATAAATCTTTTTTTAAATAGTTACTATCCAGGATGGAAATAAGATTCTGAAGCATAGCAAACAGATAGATAAAACATAACCTGGCTCTTAACTGTATACACCCTGAAGTCATGTGGAGAGCCACGCCTCTGAGGACCGAAGAAAACCTGAAGATTAGCAAGCAAGGAAAAGCCCTTTTCAACTAGTGTTTCTCCAGATCCAGTCTCTTTCTTCATGAACTTGCTTTCCCATTAATGGCCCAGAGAGACAGACTGTTTCTTAAAACTGTGAACAGCAGAGCAATGAAAGAAAATGAGAGAGAGAGAAAAAAGAAAGGCAAGAAAGGAAGAGACCATGGAAAAGATTACTAGAGAGGCTGGCCGAGAATGCAGAATTAAAGGAATAACAAGAACATTGCATGTATACATGTGCACTAAAAATAAGAGCTCGCACATGGGTGTAAGCAACAGAAATAAAAGGGCATCATCGACTTAAACATACGACGGACAGCTGGCTCCCTGACCCCTCAGAGGCCGATCACAAGTCTCAGGTGGTTCCACCTGTACCTCCCACAGGCGGAGTATTAATCAAGGTTCCCGCAGACCTTCTTCCCTCATCTTTGATGAATTGGCTCAAAAATTCAAGGAAACCCTTGCATCAGCCTGTTTGCTGCAAAGGATGCACTAGGATGCCTAGGGCGGAGGCAGAAGGGCAGAGTGCCGAACTTGGAACTTCTGTACCTTCTCCAGGCAGTCCCGGAACCTGCAAGGGTTCAAGTACATGAAGTTCTCTAAACCCTGTCCTGTGCTGAGTTTTCTTTTCATCTTATTTGAAAGGCATAGTTAGAAATCTTCCATCTGCTGGGTCACTTTCCAGATTCTTGCAACCAAGGCTGGCTCAGATTGAAGCCAGCAGCTAGGAACTCAATCTCCCCCAGGAGACAGGAGACCCAAGTGCTGAGTCCTCACCTGTTGCCTCCAAGGGTGCTCATTAACAGGAAGCTGGATTGCAAATGGATCTGGGATTCAGACCAGACTTCAGGATGGGCCTGCTAAGATTCCTCAGTGTCCTGGGAATGTGGGAAGAGGAACGGATCCCTTCAGAAGGAGAAGGAGGTCTTCTGACTGAGTTTTGGATAGGAGCAGGCCAGAGAATTTCTTTATGGCCAGCTAAAGGCAAGAGAGCAGTAGAGTTTCCATGACCCACTTTTGGGAAAAGAACATTTAATGTCTACACCTTGGAGATAGTTATAAACCAGGAATCATGCACAAAACAAACAAACAGCAGTGACTGTATTTGTATTATATTATCCTGTGTTGAAACAAGCCCCCAGAGTGATGGAATTAGGACATGGGGCCTCAGGGAAGTAATTAGTGCCTACGAAAGGAACCCGAGGTCTCTGCTCTGCTCTGCTGTGCAAGCTTGTTCTGCCATAGAGAGCCCCCGTGAACCAGGAAGCAGGTCCATCACCAGGCTCTGGGCGTCCCAGCCTCCAGAGCTGTGAGACATAAAATTCTTTTGCTTACAAGCCATTCAATATGGTTTCCCATTAGACATGCCTGAACTGATGAAAACAGCCAAGTTTCTGGTGAGTGCATCTACCATTCAAAGGACTCCCTTGTCCTACCC